AAACCAGATTTGATGCTCTGATATCGACATTAATGGGCACTATTCCGTAGGAAGCGTCCCTCCAAAGAAGTATATCGACTACTACCTCGATGGCAGCCACTTCTGCTTGATATACATGTACTTCAGTGGGTTAGAATCCTGAAACTAGTGTTGATCAAGAACTCTTTATAGCAGACTGCTCGTCTCACCTTCTACCTAACTTCCGATTCGCCCGTTAAAAGCTCAATACGTTCTTTCTCAAGTTGCATTTGTTTTGAGAATGTAACCTCTCCATCTTGTATACCCTATAAAACTTAATCGACATAACTGTAGTTTCAAGGAACCAATATACAACTTTCAGTGGTTCTCTCCAACAGTTTTCCTACACCAGTATCAGACAGCCGATCCTTTCCTCCTCCAAGTCTGACGGCCACGAATGCTTCCTATATAGGATTAGAATCATATAATTCACTTTGTCCACAAGTTGAAAGCAAATACTTCCCAAAAGGGGGGAAAGAGCTTCCCGAGAATTTATATTTTTAACAAATAAATCTTGTTTAGTTTTTAGCTATAAAGTCCAAGTCATACATTTTCTGTTGCAGTCGACATTGTGAGACTCAAACTTTTATGAAATTTGCCAAGGTAATGTACAAGTATTTGAGTTTTATCTATCTCGGAACAAGTTCAATACAACAGTGATATAGTGGAAAGCTCGGCAACAAAATCAGCTGAAATAATGGCGGCACTAGTTGAACTCTCCACGTGGACCTTCGCGCACAGCTCAATTGGTAGGAGCTGGTGAATAAAATAGAGAAGGTTTCAAGTCACACTAAAGCAGGGTGGATGGCGCAGCTGCATGCAACTCGCGAACATATAATATTTATACAGACGGATCCAAAATGGCAAATGGAGTGGGTGCCAAAATAAAGAACACGGAGCTGGATCTCAGTAAACCCTTCACACTTCCAAAATACTGCCGTATATTCCGGGCCGAAGTGTTTGCGGTCGGGAAAGCGGCTTATATCGCTAACAATGCAGGAAACAACATAAAAAAGACCAATATGTATCACGTTACGCCAGGGAATGTCCTTTAAAACAGAGAGCCTATATATTTAGTGCCTGCCGGGAAGCGGATGCATGTATATTGGGTTTCAGGTCATAAGGGAAATCCGTGAAATGAAATATCTGAATGCTGAGATTTCCAAAAAGGTCATCCGGATATACAAAAAAAAATCCGAAAGCGAAAACCATCGCATCAGAACTAGATAGAATGCCTATGGACATGCAAAATAAACAAGCGCATGTACAAGAGCACCAAAGGGAGGCACGCATCCTTTTTACTCAAACGGTCTAGAGCGGTTGTTGACCTAATTACAGGTGACAACCAAATAGGCTCGCATCCGAGCTGGATGTTAATAAGTGTTACCGTCGGAAAGTGCAAAGAAGTAGGCATAAGAGACGCGATAATACCTTCTATGTTTCTGACCAGTATTATCTAGAACTCAAGTTCTGGAGGAAGTTTCAGAAGTAGTCATCTAGATCGTAATAAACTTCGTAAAAAGCGTTGATATCCTACATGATAAATGAAGCTGGTCCTTAGTGATAGCAAACTAAAGACTAGTAAAGCATAAGAGGCTTGTTTAAATTAGCCTAAGCTGAATAAACCAAACCTAATTTCAAATTTATATTTACATAGCTAATAGAATTATGTAATCCTGCATGTCCCTTAAAGCGACCTAACTAAACTCACACGTTTAACACTGCTGCTTCGCTGCGCCAGCGGTCATGCGGCAAATGGTGACAAATAGCCGCAACTGAATAACCGGAGCAGCAACAACAAACAGGCGCCCATCCAACAACTTCATTACCAACAGCACCGCTAATCACTATCAACGCAAGTGGTTGCAGTAACCCAAAGCCGCTGCAAGGCATTGCGAGTGATGCGTGTTGTTGCATTAAATTAACCTGCAACATAGCCCTAGGCGAATGACACTAAAACAGCAACAATGCACAGAAATCCATAGATACGTAGACACAAAATAGCTTATGCACAACGGTGACTAGCGTAAACGTGCTGCAGTTGAGGTTATATAATGCGTTGCAGCTTCTGCTGGCAACATTGACAAAGCTGAATGAACTCTATTGTCAAGTGGCCGCAGCAAATGTCAACTGTGCACTTTGAGGCGAATGACGACAACAAAATATGCCATCATGCCGGAGGACACGCATGCATGCGCATAGTGCTGTCGGCAATAACGTTCCTGACTGGCCGCTTGTACTCTTGCGCCTCCTGTCGTGGCACAAATGCAATTTTCGGCATGCCTTGCACGAGCCCCACAACAGTGACCAATTAATTTTCCTCAACACTTAGCCGAACAACACAATAGATACTCTCTCTTGCTCACCTCTGCGGATGTGGCATACATCATTCCTCCACAGACACTTGTGCGCATAAGTGAGTTAGCGCATGATAGCGCTGAGACGTGATAAAATTGCGTGCGTGATTGAAATTCATCGCCCCACCGCTGCATCACACATTCGAGCGCATAGCCATTGCTCACCGCATTCTTCTAGCTCTCTTCTTGTTTCTGCTGCTTTATCTTCTGGCATTTTGCTCATATTTTATAGCAGATTTTCTTACCCGCTTAAGACTATTGCAGTCGCAGTGAAGTTAATAAACAGTACAGTAGTTGGCGGCACAAGCCAATGACTATGTAAGTGTGTGTGTGTGCAGCAAACATAAAGTCTTTAACCGTGCATTGTTAATGGCGCACGTCTCAACTTGCACTCCTTCGCATAATAGCTGCTTAAGGAGAAAGTATTTCAAAGTCACCGAAGGTTACTTTCAACATTGTCACTCTCTGCATATGTATGCGTGAAACATCTTCCATCTGCTTGCTCCCTTAGTATTCGTACTCACATACAATAAAGCCGGCGATATTTTATTTGATGCATTCGGTGCAACGCCGGAACCAATATTACCGTTGAGCGCCTCGCCACCCAGTCGCGCAGCCACCCACTGTCAATTTCGTTAACCCAAACGCTCTGTGTAAGTCTGCGCAAATTTCAATAAAATGCTTCTGATGTACGGCGCTTGTTTGAGCTGTTATTTTTGCAGTAACAACATTACCGTTTTTAATGGAATTTTCAAATATCGAGCGCCTTGCAAGTTATGTAAGAAAAAGTGGCAGACACTCTGCGCACAATTAATGTTCATTATGATTAACAACAAAAGTGTCTCAGTATAGAACATGTTATTGTTAAGATTTCTTCTTTTGAGTCTTATAAGTGCAAAATCCAAATTTGTATCTATCAGTCATAACATTGATGTCGTAGATAATTTCGTCTAGCTTGAAACTAGCATCAACACCAATTTCAGCAATATCAGCCGTGAAATCCAACGCAGAATCACTCTTGCCAACATGTGCTACTTTGGCCTGAGTAGGCAATTGAAAGGTAAAGTCCTCTCTCAACGAATAACTACCAAACCTTATAAATTTCTCATTACTCCTATCCTGCTATATGGTGCAGAGGCATGAACGATGCCAACATCTGATAAGTTGGCCTTAGGAGTGTTCGAGAGAAAAGTTTTGCGGAAGATTTAGGATCGATGAACGATGAGCTGTACGAGATATACGGCGACATTGACGTAGTTAAGCGAATGAACGGATAGCGGCTGCGCTAGCTCGGTCATCTCGTCCGAATGGACGAAAACACTCCAGCTCTAAAAGTATTCGAACCAGTACCCGCTGGAGGAAGCAGAGGAGACGAAGACCTTCACTCCGTTAGAAAAAACAGTTGAAGAAACACCTGGCTTCGCTTGGAATCTTCAATTGACACCATCTTGCGAAAGGAAGAAACGACTGGTGCGCTGTTGTTAGCTCGGCTATAACCGCGTAAGAAGCGCCAATAAAGAAGAAGTTAGTGTTTGCCAACTGTTATGTTTCGACGCGTTTTGGTTCGTCTTCTTTCTTCCACATCTGCACTAAACGGTCTAACTGATGACGAGTCATGTGTGTATGGTTATGACGCGGAAACGAAAGCTCGCCAATCGAATTGAATTGTTGAATTTGAATGTTTTGCTAACAGTTTTTATCTATTGCGTTATGAGTTCTTGCCAAAAGATCGTGCAATCATTAAAGAGCATTGCCTGCAAGTTATGCATAGTTTGCGCGAAGTAATCCGCCAGAAATGCCCGATATGTGGAAGATCAAAAGTTAGCTTTCGTCTAATCATAAAGGGCCTGATATTCATGAATAAATAGACACTTTCTTAAGAAATACAAAATTCGGTATACTTTTTGAACAATCCTCGTATGTTGACAAACTGTCAGACTATAGTAGCATTTGATTATCATTTAGACTCTTTTGATAAATTTTCGGATAATTTTGTACTTTATAGTGAGGAAGAGAGAGAGCGATTCAACTAGAATCTATAAGTGACGGAAGATCTTATCAATGTCGATGGACTCGTCACAAAGTCATACTGGTTGTTCTTAGAAGAAGTTTCTCGACTGAAAAATTATAAAAGAACTTTGTCTCTCTGTAAACTTCGATGCAATGCTATTTTTCAAAAAAACAAAAACAGATTTTGGTTGTTTTGTTTCATGTTTTCTGGTTTCTGTAAAGTAAAATGGAAATAAAATAATAACTGTGTGCACAAATTGTATATCCAAAATTGAGCTTAGAGCTATGGCAACCAAATAACTTTAGACCAGTGTTATTTTTATAAAACAAAAATCTGCAAATAAAATATCTTAAAGTAACTCAGTTTTTATATTATATCTTTTCACATCAAATATTTAATTGCTCCTCACTAATTGAAATTAATTTTCTATGTCGTTGCAGGTAAGGATGTGCGATACTTTAACGATGATTAAGTCTAAAAGGTAACTGCTTTCACAAAACCTGTTTTCTGTGAATGAAAAATAAAAATAACTTAAACTATGAAATTTAAACCACTATTATTTCTGAATACTTGCCACTTGGCGCAATTTCATTAAAGTTCTGAGAATTAAGGCAAATTCTTATTTTCTGCACAGCTAACAGTGAATTTGTGCAATCACTCGTAAACGCAATGGACCAAATTTACAACTTCCTTAAACTTAACTGCAATGTCGAAAAAATATTTTTAAAGATAAAATTCTTAGCTCTATTGAAATAAAGCATCACTCAAATACGAAAACATTTTTTTTTTTTTTTTGCTTATTTACTTGGCATACCTGGTTTTTTCTCTTAGTCTAAGTGTGTATTTGGCACCCTTAATTGAATTTTGACAAATAATGAAATCAAGACCTCCAGATGAGCTTTTGTATCAAAAACTATATTAATTCCCTTATTTGTCAAAGTTTTTTCGACATTCATGCAGTCGCGTTAACTTAATGATAAAATCAAAAATGCGTAAAATTAAGTTCATCAACGCCAACAGGCAAAAAACTCCAAAAAAAAATAAAATAAATGAAAAGAACACGTTTTACCCACGAAATCTGCCCTCATTATTTCGCCTGTCACTTCGATTCCAGCAACGCAGCTGAGTCCATTTCTTTGTCGACGCCTGCCGGATGAGCAGCGCCACCAAAATTATACTCACCGATTTAATTAACAATCTGACAACGGTGCGTCTGTAACTGTTGAAAGATTATTAAAAACTTTGGTAAAAAAATAAAAACTTTAAGTTCCACTCACGCTATGTCGATGCTGTTGCGGTCCTTCGCCGCAGGTGTGGTGTTGGCGAAAACAATGCCTTCATAGGGATTCAAGAGGAATGTGGCGTTGTGAGTCAGCTGAATGCTGCGCGACATAATTAAGAGCAGAAGAAATTGTTTTTGACTTAAAATATTTAATTGAAGTATTTTGTTTGCGGTCTTTCAGTTAATTGCGTTTCTCGTCTGCCGCACGAGCGGGTGCGAAAGTGTTTATTGGTGGATTTGGCGTGCTTGTGTATGTGGTATAATTTCGCTCGTACGGAGCAGTGTATGTGTGTAAATACCGTCAGGGGTTTCTTTTTATAAGGTTATAAAATATTTAACAAACATCTAAGATAAACGTTAGTGCTTTGTTTAAAAATTAAAAATTCTAACATCTTTCTATCAAAGTCCGAATCCCAAATACAATGTTCAGCATAACTGGCTCAATTGATTTACTCAGGCCAGGTTGTCTTTATACACTACATATATATGAAATAGTCCCTTAATTCTTAAGAAATCGATCTGAAATTTCGCACACGTCCTTTTCTCCCTAAAAAGCTGCTCATTTGTCGGAATCGTCGATATCAGACCACATCAGCACATAGCTGTCATACAAACTGAATGATCGAAATCAATTGCTTGTATGGAAAGCCCTTTTTTATGGCGAGCAGTCTTCACTAAATTTATCAAGAATTATTACCTAAGACAATGGTGTAATTTCCAAAGCAATTTTTCAAATCGGACCAATATAGCAAATAGCTGCCATACAAACGACTTAACTTAATCAATTGCTTGCCTGCAAAATTTTTTCATTTGACTAGACATTTTCACGAAATTTGGCACGGATTATTATCTACAGCAAATTTGTAATCTCCGGTGAAATTGTTGTGATCGAGTCACTATAGCATATAGCTGCCATACAAACTGATCGAAAAAAATCATGTTCTTGTAAGCCATATTTTGTATTTGTGAAGGGTGTTATAGCTTCAATGCTAAAAAAGTTAACGTATTTATGTTTTTTATCACATTCAATTTAACAATAACTTATTCGGATTTTTCTGAACGCGACTCACAGTCATACCAGTTGCCATTATAAAACATGATTAATTGCAGTGTAATTTTTCAGAGTGAATATATATTTTTTTACTTTTATTTTATATCTTTTATTAATGGCACTGTTTTTATACTCAAAAATATTTGATGGATTCATGAACATTAGAGTTATAAATAAATATATAAGCAATAACTGATTTCAGCGATTGTTAATAAAAATCATGAGTTATTCAGTAGCGTAACAAAAAGTAACACAAGATCAAAATTAAGTATAATGGTTTTTTTCCGCTTCTTGCAGTTTAGAAAACAAATAATGATATATTTTTAAAACCAAATGTATACATAATGTTTGAATGACCAAATAAAAAAGTATATAGCAGAGACCTGCTTGAAGTCTTTACCATTTTACAAATCCCTTCTGTTCTGCGTTTCCCCTTGCTGAGGTTGCATAGCGGGGCCTCAAAAGTGACAATAATTATCCCTTCAATAAAATCCCTTCTAATAGTGCAACAAAGCATATGATGATAGACTAACACTGCCTGATTGATGTCACTTATCAAAAGGCAATTATTGCCAAAGTAAAAGCCAAATACACTAACTGAAGACGTCAATGCGCCAATGAAGTTGAAGTAACTAATCTATGATGAAACAAGTTCTTAACCCAACATCGAATTGAAGCGCGGTCACGGTGCAGCAGGAGCAGGAGCTGCACTGACTCTAGCGCAGCAATCAATTAGAGTGTCACTTTTCAGCGCAAAGAAATCTGAAATCCAGTCAGCTGAAATAAAAGCAATTTGCAAATCATCTCCGCAGACACTATGGAGACCCAGGCAAAGCGTACTGCCGCGCCTCACGTTGTTGTTGTGGCATTCGGTGCACATTTCTTTACGAGCATGAATTTTTGACACATTCGGTCATTTGTAATGACTGCAGCAGTTGGTTGATTGCCAAGCCATTCGGAACGGCCCCACTGCATGTATGTGTTACGTCATCAGAACCAGATAGCAAACAGAAAAGTCGTACCCCCTCATCGCCAATTTGCGTTTCTTTTTACTCGCAAAAATTAATTTAGTTTAAGCATTGGCGCTGTAGGCGTTGCCAACTACGAAAATGTGCAATTTCGCAGCTTCTAAAAGCATTCAACTAAAAGCAGACACATTAAGACACTTAAATATTTTATGATTTGCTTGCCGCAAGACGCATTTCGACGCGCTGCTCGCGCGACAGGTGCAAGAGTATTAAAATACGAGATCGCAAGCAATTTGGCAAATTTGATAAGTTTTCTAATTGCTCTGTAATTACCAGCAAACATAATGTTAGACAATTAAAACGCACTTTTTTAGTTTAGCGAGGTTCTTTTATTCGCAAAATGCGACATAAAGCTTGTTAAATTAATAAAAACCCATACATAAACAAACTTACTATGGCAAATATAATATTTCGAGTAAAACAGAAAAACATTAAGAAAGGATCAATCAGCTGTTTTGCTCACTCTAGCATGCAAACGAGGCCCTCATAGGGCGCCAAGGGCACAGCTTCGGCGGCGAGCGCTTTGCTGCAATTGCACAAAGGAGGTTGGGTTTGGTTAGTAAAAGCGAAAGCAAATCTTAGAAATGTCGCAACTCACCCAGTTTCATGTGTAGACTTGGAGCCAGCAACCATCACGGTAAGCTTCTGTTGGAATTTGAGATCGAAGACTTCGGTCAAATTGACCGCGCGAGCACGTGGGCCAATATTGATGACAGTTATGATGGAGTTATCATCATTGAGTTCCCTGCAAAGATGCATATTTGGTTTATTAATACAGTTAATTTGTAATTAAGCACTCAAAGGTCGGAAATTTTCAAAATTTGTATGTAATTACCTTTCGAAAGCGAAGACATCGCGATTCAGCACCTCTGCGTGGAAGCGTCCTTTGCAAAGTGCCGGCATCTTACGTAGTTCAACTAAAGATTTATATACCGAGTAGTGGCTCTTCTCAGACTTCTGTTGTTTGAGATTTAGATTTTTGTAGTTAGGGTGAACGGGTAGCCATGTCTTTTCGGCAGTAGAGAAACCTGGTGGCAAGAAAAAAATGTATTTGTAACAGCCGTTTAATATGTTCACTCCGCTTTTATTTCTACCGGCATTCTTTTGCGTATTCCATTGATAGGGTGTACGTTCCGGGTCACGAGACACTTCTTTGTACTTTTCACGCCCAACATTGCGCGCAGGTGGATCCACAGTGTCCTCCCAGCTGATATCACGATAATCCTGCATACCAATTTCCTCGCCCTAAAGAAACAAGAAGCAACCAAATTATTTTAAATGTGCTAGCCAAACACTACACGCCCGCGCTTACATTGTAAGTGACCGCTACACCAGGCAGTGTCATCATCAGCATATGCATCGCATCGACGCGCTTCGGACCGAAACGGGTGGCCATGCGCATATTATCGTGATTGCCCATGACCCAGTTGGCTGTGTGTTCGCGTGGCATATATGTCAGCCACTTCTGAATATTGAACACATAGTCGCGCGCATCGGAATGCTCATCCAAATCGGTAATGAAATTGAAGTTGAATGGGAAATGTGCACCACGTTTGCCGTCTTTCGTTTCATAGTAGTCCATGAGTGTTTTCAGATCGGCGTATGCCTCGGTCATGAGTATGCGTGCGGGACCACCGTTTTTGGCGGTGTAATCGTCCATTAGTTTACGCCAATGCTGCAACATATCCAGTACTTCCGGCTGTAAGTAAAGGTATTAAGTTGCATGAAAACTTAAAATTTGCACCAAGTTAAGTTTTACGCACCATATCTTTAGTGTAGATGTGCTTGGTATATTCATAGGAATTCATATCGTCGGTTTTGCCGGAGAGTGGCTCATCACGTAGCTTTACGTCTTCGAAGAGATGATTGACAGCATCGACTCGGAAACCGTTAATACCTTTATCCAACCAGAAACGTAAGACTTCGTCCATGGCCTCGACCACCTTGGGATTGCGGAAATTCAGATCCGGTTGAGCTGGCGTAAATTGGTGCAGATAGTATTGGTTGCGCTTCTCATTGAATGTCCATGCAGAACCATAAAACACAGATTGCTGTAAAAAAGGAATAAAATTTTTATCATTAATCAATCCGCTAAGGCTGAATGGTGAGTCTGCCCACTCACCCAATTATTTGGTGGCATTTTGTTGCCTTTGTTATCCACTTTAGCATCAGCCCAAATGTAGAAGTCTTCAAATCCGTCTTCCTTGTTGATTGACTTCTCAAACCAAATACTTTGATTTGAAGTGTGATTTGGCACAAAATCCATAATAATTTTAATGCCTGAAAGCATGTGTCAAATAAATATTTAGAACTGTTCTGCCATTAACGGTACCGCATGTAACCGTTACCTAAGCGTTTCGATTCCGTTATCAGCATTTCCATGTCTTTCATTGTACCGTATTCCGAGTGGATGTCTTTGAAATCAGATATGTCATAACCGAAATCAACCATGGGCGACTTGAAAATGGGACTCAGCCAAACGGCCTGAATACCAGTCTCGGCGAGATAAGGCAGTTTCATCATAATACCTGCAAGGAAAGAATTAAATAGCTGTTTGCACCATTTGAATTAATCTTCAATTTCACTCACCTTGCAAATCTCCCACACCATCGCCATTGCTGTCCATAAACGACCGCGGATAGATTTGATAGAGTATCATGTGCTTCCACCAGTCTTTCTCATCGCTAGCTGTTCTGTCGGTCGCTGTTCTGTCGCTCGCTGTAGTCGCCGTACCGGTTTTGGTTTTGGTCTCCGTTGGCATAGAGTCATCATTCAATATCTCCGACGTTTCCGTGCTGGTCTCCTTTGCAGTCGCCGTCATCTTCATTTCGTTTGCTTGCGTGGGCTCTTTCAATTGCTCATTGGCACTTTCGGTGTTGGGCATGGGAGTCGCCGTTATTGCTGCATCTGCCGACATTTGCGCACGTTGCAAAAACAAGCAAAAAGTGAAAAACAGCAGTAGGGCCTTAAGCCCCAAACAATTAGAAAACATTGTGACGAACACAAATACACTTAA